GCTTCGGGGTGCGCTGGGTCAGGGCAGGGAGGAAGGGGCTGGTGCTGCGAAGCAGCGGGTGGTTATCCATGACGGTGAGGATGCTCACGGCGGGCACGGGAAGGGTCGGGCAGCACAGGCTGGTCTGGACGAGCCCTGAGCGAGCGGAGAGCCTGGCTCCTGGTGCCTCACTGCGAGTGCACGAGTGCCCCGGCACCTTGCCCAAAGCCAAAGCCCTTGGGACCGAAGTTCTTGGCGTAGCAACCTGCGGAGGACGGGAAGGGAGAGACGGGTAAGGCCGGCAGCGGAACACAAGCAGGTCCTCCTCTCAAAGCTGGCACTGCCAAAACAGGACAGGGTTTGCTGTATTTGTTGGGCAAATAGAGGCTCCAGGCACAGCAGGAAATCCCCCGGCTCCGCAGCTAGCACAGCTGGTACCCATACGTAGCTGCTGGGGCCACCACCTCCCCAAACCTCCATCCCATCCTGGTTCCCTGCACTGGGGTTTTCACCCCCCTGCCTCCACCCTTCAGAGTCCAGGAAGAAGCCAGCTGGGAAGGTGGCACTCACCTTTGCAGTAGATCTCCCCATCTTTGTCTGCCAGGGTGGTGGACTCCAGGCTTTTGCCACACTTGGCACAGCGGAAGCAGGACTTGTGCCAGGACTGTGGGACAGGAGCAGAGCCCGGTCAGACAACAGCCGGGGACAGGGCAGCAATGCTCTGGTTACCAAACAGGGTCACTTTGTAGTTTCTGACCCAAAGCGGTTGGCAAAGAGGTCTGATCAGGATGAAGGAAAACTTTTCTCTGGAAAGAATGGACCTCCCGGCCCCGGGGGGAAAAGATTCAGAGAGGAAACACCAGGTGTGGTCACTGCTCTCATGCTGATCTGGTTGCAGAGAGCTTTCACCTCCACTCACAGAAGTCATTTGTACAGTAATTCCTATGATAATTTGGAAGGAGGGACCACGTCCCACTTTGGAGATTGTCCTCTCTCGCTCGAGCAGCGTGATAAACCCCCCACTGAGTTATCCAGCTGAGACCCACTGCGGCCCTACGTCAGCCCGGGGGTGGCAGCAGGGTTGGGACACCTGCCCCTGCACAACCACCGCTCCAAGGAAGGAAGCGAACGGATCCCAAGAATGCCGAAATCAGCCAGTGGTTAAAAATAACACCCACCCCCCCGCAGCTCTGCCAGCCCCCGGGGATAAATGAGCTCACGGCCTTCGAGCAGACCTAGAGTAGCCAGAGCTGCTCACAGAGGAATTTAAATAAACACTTCGGAAAACACGAAACCTTTTTTGGAAGAAAATGTGAAATTAGGGAGCTGGAGGAGGAGGAGGAGGAGGATGGAGTCATCCAGCAAACACTAGCACATGAAACACACGCTCTGGAATCCTCGCAGGGTTTGCTCCAGCGTAATTGCTCCGCCAGCTTTGGTTCCCTGTAAACACTGAGGCCAGAAGCCTCCCAGGAAGCCCAGATCATGATTTTAAGGTGAAGTTTGGCTTCTGATGCTGGGCTGACCCTCAACGCGCCCATCACAAATCCCTGCGCTGCCAACCGGGGTATGATGATGTCGGGAGGCCCCTTCTGTTGACGAGATGCCTCCTTCCCTTGCTCTGGGCACAGGGGACAAACCCAGACAGCCCAGGGAGGACAGAGCACATCGGGGGTCAGGGAGTGACCCAACATCACCGACACTGACCCTGAGCAGACCCAGCCCACCACCGAACGCACTGAGCCCGCGCCCACACCTCCAACCACCTCACCCAGCCTACGGGCACCGCTGGCCACTGGAATTCATTCCCTGCCCCGAATTCGGGCTACGAGATCCCAGCCTTCGGAAGAAGGTGAAGATGGCTCACTGGACATTGTGCTTGATCAGTTAGTGGTGACAGTGGCCGTGGCCCACATCACCACTCATCCTCCCAGCACACCCAGCAGCAGCGACCTGTTTTCCAGACATGTCCAGCTCCCCTTTTGGTGCCAGGCTTCCAGGTGAGCCATGGCCACCAGTCCCCAAGCTCAGCCCTGGCTGGAGGCCCTGGTAGCCCAGCCTGCAGCAGACTATGCGTCAGGTCAAGACCTTCTCTGCAGGTGTCCCTGCCACACAGCAACTTGTGCCCCATCCACTCCATTCCCCTTCTTACCTTTCCAGCTCCAATCACCTTCTCAGCTGCATACACCGCTTGACCACAGCGAGGGCACCCATCAGCACCTCCGACTTTCTGGGCCATTTTGGATGCGTTAGGATTGGTGGGTCGGTGGGGCTGGCCCCTGTGGATGGGAGGGAGGTCATGATCAGGGCTGCACAAGCAAGGTGGAGGAAGGAAGAGCTATGGAATCACAAATCCCAACCCAGTTTTGAAGGGCCCAGAGCTTCAGGCACAATGTGTTGGGCCCCACGGAAACTCCAGCCTCACGGCATGCTCAGACAACAGGGGACATGTCCCATCAAGCCCATCCCAAAAACAGGTTTCCCCCAAGGAGCAGAAAGGCAGGGCAGCCCGAGGCACTCTCAGATTAGATACTGGAAGTTCCGCACGGGCTACACAACCAAGCGTCACAAGCAGACGGAGGTGGGGGAGAAGGTGCCCACATCAGCCCCAGTTTTGAAAACAAGACTTAAACTCACTCTTCATATTTGATGCCCAGAGACTCGCCCTTGTCCGTGCTCAGGGTCCCTGCTCCCTGCCCGTAGCCGTAGCCCTTGGGGCCATACTTCTTGCCATAGCAGGACTTGCAGTAGATCTCCTCTCCATGCACGGCAACAGTGGTGCTGTCCAAGTTCTTCTTGCAGACCACTAGAAAAGAGGGGAGGGCCGGGCCATCAGCCTGCGCATCCAGAGCTGCCTAATTAGCCGGAGAAAACATGTCCTCACAAGGGACAGTGCAGCTCAGCTTTCAAGGATCAAGGAAACCCAAGGCCAGATCCTCCTTAAGCTCATGCAAAACAGCCAGAGATAAGGATCACAAGAACATTGTCTGGCTTTAAAAGGCTGCAACCACTGAAGCTACAAGCTGATACCAAGAAAAAGCTCTGTTAACCCTCTCGATGCTGGTATCCTGGAGTTGCATTTAAACCAAGAAGGGAGTGAAATTTCCCTAC